TTGTAAATCTCTGGTGCTGAAAGATCGTTAAAATTAATTTTAACAGAACAAATATTCTTCTTTGCATTGAATGTTTTATGTTGAATTTCATGGTTCCTCAAAACGTGGCACTTTTCATTGTGTAACAAAGACCAATTCACTTACAACGTCATCCTTTTACTCACATTTTCCCTTCTCTACACGCACCTAATAGCCCTAGACAAAATCCTATGTACTTCTTATTTGTTTTCTACCAGGATCCTGTCATGATCGGTGTAGGATCCTAATAATTTCCTGGCAAGATCTGAGATGTTAGGATTTTCCTGTCAGGATTTTGTTTCTTAATGAATAAGGATAGTTAATCTCAGGTTGAAGTAATAAATGTCTACGCGCCATTTTTAAATGTGCTTTAGAGTTACAAAGAAATATTAGCTAACTTTTGGTCAAACAATGGGAACGGATGGAGAAATTTCATGAGAGATAGGAACACAGAAGCAATCCTATGAAATTCCTATTCAAGGATTATATTTTCCTACTAAAATCCTAAATCATTCCTGCTACATTATGACTCAGTCATCGCATTTTCTTGCTAGGATCCTGACAAATCCTACGACTTTCCGATATACCTGATTTCTTTAGGATTCTGTAAGATTTTCCTAGGATCCTACCAAAAAGCCAGTTAAATCTTGACAGGATCCTGGTCGGATTTCTCAAGGATCCTGTCAAGAAATGCATAGGTTTCTTACTAGGGAGTCTTCATTCTGCTTATTTTAACAAGAAAGCAATCTCACTTTCCTTGCCCATAATAAAAGAACTTTCATAACGCATGGGATTTTTCTTGCACCATTGAATTCTGAATATCGTCTGTGCCGATGCCGCCACAAATTCCATTAAGTTTATTTTTAATATAATTTTCAATATCCTCCAAAGAAAAATTCGGCAAACACCGTAGATCTGATATTGTTTTTATTAGAATATTAATTATTTTACTTTGATGTTTGTTATACAATGACACAGTGAGCATGTGACGACCACTGTTAAGATGTAGAAAGAAAGACATTCTAGACACACACACACAGACGTAGGTGTGTTTTCTCTTCTCTTCCTGTCGATGCACTGTGAGTAAAAATCATCTTAACCCCATATTTGGGGTGTTGAAGTACTAATAGCTGGTTTTCACACCTTACTTTTATATGACTGCGGCACTGAAAATCTTTAAAAAAAATTAATCACTTTACAATAAAAAAATTAAAAAGATTGTCTGAAAAACTGACGAAAACGAAGAAGATATAATACTGAAACGTCTTTGGTATAAACTTTATTTGAAAAAGAAAATCTTAATACAGATCGAAATCGCGATCCAATGCATCACATTGTGTCAATTTGTAAAAGAGCCTTAATGAACGGATGAGTAGAAAAGTTAACAAAGAGACATACAAAAATGAAAGAAGAATTGGAGAGAAGAAGAAAAAGATTGATCGTCAGTTGCAGAGGAATATGATTAAGGCAGAGAGTATGGTAAGAGACGTTGAAGAGTAGAGTAGTGGTGGTGATCAGATGATCCTGCGGACAAAGATAGGGAGACGGCTTCTAATTAATTCGTACAGACACGAGATAGGAATGCATCTCTTCGAATGAGTGGACAAAAAGTTCAAAATCCTTTGAATACTGATTTACTAAATGCACTTCCTATTTTGAAGAATTCTAAAGATCATCGCCCTAAAACTGCAAGAAAACGCGAATAGTGCGGTTCACATATTACGTCACCTTTTCACTTCTTCAGAAAACTCGAAAAATCTCCGAAACTTTACCTTTAAGTCACGATTGTAGCCCATGAAATGATGATCAAAATGAGACATATCCAACCTCTACGTGACCTATCTGCGAAGTTATAGAATTTACAAGAAAAGCCCTAAATTTTCATTGTCAGCTCAAAGCCACAGAAATAAGAAGAAATTCATTTAAGGCTTTCCTTGTAAATTCTATAACTTTGCCGATTTTCTCCTGCACATATGCCGTCATATGCAGTTAGCAAACCCCAGTCTTTAAACATTATTAATTAAAGTTACATGTTTTTGTACTTATATTTTCATGTCTTCAAGAAGTTTTAAGAGAAAGCGATCAATAATATTCTATAGAAATAGCCGAACTTCGTGCCGTGGATTTCACTATGAAATCATCGTCTAAAGTGCCTTCTGATATTGGTGTATTGTCTTTCGTTCGATGATTTCTTAATGAGTATCGCCGGTTTTTCGCTGGTGGGTTAATATCAGCTGTCTCTTCGTCACTTAAATGCTCAAGAAATTGTTTTCTCGCCGAATCAGCATTCGGACGCTTCTGAGAATTTATTTTCGATTTGGCTTCTGCTGATGCATCGTCATCCATTGATGTTGAAGGATTTACACTGGATTTAGTCTTCTTCCTATTAGAATTTATCTGAGCAAATTGATTTTGTACCTGTTTTCCAGTTATGTATTGTTTTGTTGTGAATCATTTCGAGCCATCCTCCTTTCTCGCATTTCGCATACGTGTTACCGCTTCATCACTCGTTACTTTATGTCCGAATTTCTCTCCTTCGTCAAACATACTCTTAAGAAATAATTTAATATCTGGATCAATCGCTTTGTTTTGCCGTTTCGGACGAAGGCAGTGACCTTCACCCTCAAAGTAAAGCATATGTTTCGGCAGAAGTGACTGATCTGTCGTCATTTTCGTCATCTGCGGTTGTGTACTAGTCAGTGTTGATAGATTTGTGTGCTGTAGTTTTTGGAATCATTGAAGACGTGCAGTGTCGTCCGATGTTTTGTCAGTAGAGCTTTCCTCCTCGTGGAGACCAGCAGCAATATGTTCAAGCAGTTCATTTTCAGACTGGAACACTTTCGTACAATTATTATGAGAAACGAATTGAAAAAATTAGGCGAGGATGATGCGGAAGAAGCAGCTCTCAAAACGATTGCAAATAAGAAGCATCAAGAAGATCTGGAAGCGGAAGAGCATCGTCAGCGATATATTCAAGAATGCGCCGAATTGGAAAAGGCAAATACAGCTCGTAATCAGCAGTAAATACAAGAATGGGAGATTCGACAAGGGATCGATTCTGAGCGAGCAGTGATAGAAGCGTTGGCTCGACAAAACGAAACTGAAGAGTTTCAACAGCTCCTACTCAAACAAGTTTCAAAAGGTTTGAAGTCATCAGAAATGTCAGACGAAGATGAATTGACATTGGCAGAGTTGAAGTTTAAACGTGAAACATCCCAAAAACCGATGGAAAAGGTACTTAGTTATGACACCTACATGAACAAAGACAATCGAATGGTTTTAATAGTACCAGACGCAGTAACTACTATTACAACAGAAGACCGAAACGGATTACAAACTACTACTTTTTTTCAAGTAAGAAATAATGCTAAAGAACGATCATAGTTAGAATAAGTTTCCTCCTTTAGTTAGAAAAATTGGAGTGCTGTTGTTTATATTCAGTAACCGGTAATTGCAGCATTGCCAGATGTTTTGTAAGTATAGAATATACTGATTTAAGCGGGGGGCAGTGTCCTGCCCCAAACATGCTCTCAAATTTGGTCAGTTTGTAGAGAACACCGTCGGCGGTATGGCTATGCAATAAAAAACTCGTTGGTCAAGTACTGACAGAGTTATCAATCAGCGGCTTTTAGGGACCTATATCTAAATGAAATACTCTTTCCTGAGTCGATAGAGGTATCTAAAAAGTGATAACAAGTTTTTAGGTTTTCAATGGTGAATTTTTACTAAAAACTGTCTAAATCATAAAAAATTCATATCTTGCAAAAGCTTTGGTTTATAAGCCTAGAAGTGTCGCAGTGAGTAGATAACATATATCTTCAACTGTGGTGTAAATTTCCGACTCCTAGCTGATCATGGGCGTGAGCTATTAATTAATTATTGTTAATGGCATTTTCATTAATTAACTCATATCTCCGTCAAAAAGGCCCATGGGCCCAAACCAACTTGGGGTTTTTCACTACTGACTATTCCCTACATGATGAAAATAGTCTGAATCGAAAAGCATTTAATCACCTCGAGAGGTTCCCTCGTAAGAACTATGATTTTGTTCACATGAATCGAATATTTTGTAACCTTCTAGTGCTAATCAGTTGTAAAATGCCGATCAGTTGTTTCAGCCGAAAAATCATTCAAAATCATTCAAAATCATATAAATCAACTATTTTAGAACATATTGTTGCGAAAATAAGAACATAAGCTAGGTTTATTTTGATATTGCTCCCCTACCTTTTCTTCACTTTTTTTCATTGTTATTTTTTTCATGAACATATCCTCAAATACATCCATATTAGCTGTGTTACGTTCTACCATACCTTTCATTTCATCAAAGAATTTGAATTTATTATTTACATTATTTTTCAGATCCGTTATATCTCTTTGAACATTAATAACAGCACAGAATACATCGCGTACTAAGTTTTCTAATTGAATATAATTATTAGCCTGTTCAATATCGGTATGTACTGGTTCATTCTGATCAAGCGAACGTTTACGGTTTTTTCTCTTTGATGTTCTAATTGTATTGGAATCAGTAGTTCTTATAGGATAAAAATATTTTAATTTTTGATTTTTCGTTATCTGTGCCCAAAATTTCACCGTCATATTCCGCATTTCCAAACTGAACTTTCACAATAGCACCTATTGTATAGGTAGATTTCTTGTCCTCTACAATATCTACTGATTTTAATTCAGCACAAGTATTATCTATATGAAAATAAAATAACACAGCGGTAAATACTTGTTATTTTTGAAACAAAATATGAAATTCTCCGTATCATATATTTAGGTCAGCCGTTATCATCAAATTAGGAAATTTCATACGACTCATCAGGCACCAAATTATCAAGACCATGATTTTCCTAGTAGGAGGAAGATAACACCAGCTGTTTATATGGAGATTCGACATAATTTGCGTTCACAGAGTCATGATCGACATAAACGCGCCAAACCGTTCTACAAAAAAAGTCATTCACAGCCTTGTTCTGAATCACTTTTGCCAGATAGTCGAAATATAATTATAGTAAGTAGTATATCTGTTAGAACAGAATTGTCTGTCAGTGTTATACAATACCATTATTTTTCAGATTGACATTCATAACCGAGAACATATAATTTTTAACCGTTCAGGTGATCTCAATATTCGTACGCATTCAAGTCAATATCATTCTTCTACTAGTGAATTGCATGTAAATAATCTATCAGATATATTAAAACTTCATCGAAAACTAGGAAAGTCAGTTCTAATAGTAACTGCTGATAATGGACCTGATTAGAAAAATGATTCAGCAGCGAATATTTATAATTTTGGTTTATTATGGGAAGATATGAATTTTGACGTAATAATTATAAATCACTATTCCGCCAGAGCTAGTCGTTTTAATCCTGTTGAACGTGCAATGGCTACTCTTTCTAAAAAATTAACAGGAGTAGTTTTAAAATCAGAGTTAACCACTAATTTATCACAAAAATCGAATCAGGATGCTGCCAATGTTGAATTAATACGATACTGGAATGGGCATAGGTAAATAGAAAAGAAAATCTTTGACCAACTTGAATGTTTAATTCTTTTGCTTATTGTAGTTACAACACACCGTTTAAAATATATTGCAAGCCAGTCCTATCTGTTGATACATTTATGTTCAACGGTCATCAGGAGCGACTTATATTGTTGAAAAACACACGTACAACATCAATAGAATCTCATGTTTCATGTCGTTTACAATTTTTTATGAGACATTGTGTTCGAACAAAATATTTATTGCTTTTTATGAAACGCAAAGATGAGTATTGTATGCGTTGTGCAGATAGGCCAGTTACGGCTAAAAAAACTGTCTCTTTACTACATCTCGCAGGTATGCTATGTATATAATCCAAATTTCACTTTTAACATAGTGTAATCTGTTCATTTAGGCAGTCGTTTTCCAGTTCCAAAACTTAGTTTGATGAATAATACCATTATGAAACTTTCCTTCAGCGGTGTCATTCACTAATCATGGTAAACTTAACGCACGTTCAGATTATACAATCAATAAAGAAAAACAATTTCCCGTATATTGCTCAATTTGTTCGGATCGATATGTGTATTCATCTAAAGCAGATATGAATAGACATCAAAGTTGGATTCATCCAGAGAGAAATCATGAGCTAAAGTAAAATAAGGATCTAAAAATTTCTGCAGCTGAGGAAGGGTACCGTCAAATTTGTTAACGTTTTAATCTCGGAAGTTGGTAGAATATACATACACTAATTTCATAGTGAAGAGAATCTTTCTTTTGGGTAAAACGATAAAATTTGTTCTTTTCTCCATTTTTTGCTTTATATCTGTGTCTCTATAGTATGTAAC